AAAATCGTTTTTGTATAATTTCAAGTGGATTAATGTGTACTCTAAGTGCACTTCCCCAGACCACTATTCCATACCGCAGATGACTTTCAACCAATGCAAAATATAGTATTTTCATTGCTTTTAATGGGAGGTATTTATTCAGGTACTTAAATTTATATAAAATTGATTGTAATTTTTTTATTACAAATTTTATATGAATATCCCATTTAAGATGAGTATCAATAATCACTCCTAGATATTTAGTATTTTTTATAGCATTAACTTTGAAGGAAGTATCATTTTTGTTAATTCTAAGTTGCTGATAGGGGCAGATATTCGTGTTGGTGCAGCTAAAGGGTAGAAAATGTGTTTTATCCATATTTATGGTAAGTAGCTTATAGTTAAACCATTTGATCAGATATAGAAAATCTTTTTCTGCTTTATGTTTTAATTCGATCCAGGTATCAGCCTTATAAAAAACCGCTGTGTCATCAGCATAACCCAGTATATCTCCTGTTGTATTAAGACTAAATATACTATTTATGTACAAGTTAAAGAGGATCGGCCCTAGAACCGTACCTTGTGGTACCCCATAGTCGATAGGTTTTGTATTACTTGTTGTACCATTAACTTTTACTGCTTGATATCTATTATTTAAATAGCTTTCTAACAAAAGTAAACATTTTCCTCTAAGACCAATGGATTCAAGAGTATCCAGGAGTTGCTGATGGCTTACCGTGTCAAAGGCCTTCGCAAAATCAATGAAAATACATAGACAAGGGTGTACTTTATCTGTAAGAGCTAATACTGCATCTTCAGTGGACGTGTTTTCTTTAAAACCATATTGCCTACTTGAAATTAGATCATGTTTGTCTATGTATGATAATAACCGTTTTTTTAGTAATTTTTCAAAAATCTTTGACAAGTTGGTAATAAGGGATATTGGACGATAATTCGTGACTACAGTTTTATCTCCTTTTTTATAAATAGGAACAACAACTGTTTTTTTGAATGAATCAGGCCAAATTCCATTCTCTAAGCAGAGATTTACGATATAGGCAAGCGGAGCCACTATAAAATCGGCCACTGTTTTTATAGTTTCTGAACGAATATCATCTATACCTGTAGATTTCTTATCTTTTAGTTCGTGAATTATAACTTTGAGTTCTGTTGGTGAAGTAGGATATAAACTTATACTAGAAGGTATTCTGTTCTCCCGTAATTTAAAATTTGGGTCCCGTTTTATTTTTTCAGCAAGATTTTTCCCCATTTCCGTAAATCTCCTATTGAATTCGTTAGCGATTTCAACAGAATCAGTAAGTAAATCTCCATTTTCTTTTTTTATTTGTTTGATGGTACTTTCTTTGTTATTAGATTTACTTAGATTTTTTACAACGTCCCATAGGTGTTTTGAATTATTTGCATTTCTTTCTATCTGTTGTTTGTAGTAATTAGCTTTTGTTTTATTTAAGATATTTGTAAGTTTATTTCTATATAATTTGTACTCTTTTTTTATTGGTTCGTTATTAGGAAACTTTATAGTTTTTTTAAACAAATCACTCTTTTTATTTATAGATGTTAGCAAGCCATTTGTAATCCATGGCGCAAGTTTAGAATTTTTTCTTGTACATTTTTTTATTTCTAAAGATTTGTTAATGTTTTCAGAAAATATTTTAATGAATATGTTTATTGCAGTATTTGGATCAGTCTCTGTGTACACAGACTGCCAGCTGATTTGAGAAACATTTTGTATTAATTTTTTAACATTTAAAAATTTTTTGACCATAACTTCTGAAGGAATTTTTATGTTCTCATGTAAGACAATTTGAAGTATTGTTGTAAAGTGATCTGTTACATTGCTTTTTACTATAATCGGAATAATCATATCTGAAATAAAAGTTTTAGATTTTATAAAAATGTGGTCTAGGCAATTATCAAGTCTGGTAGGTTCGTTAATTGTAGAGATATAACCGAATTCACTAAGAATATTTAAATATTCAATACAGTTGTCATCTGATTCAAGGATATTAATATTTATATCACCTATAAACAAATAAAAATGTTCAAATTCTGTTTGATTGTTTTCTAAGTAGTTTTGCAATATTTGATTAAACTCCTTTATATTGGAAGCTGGTGATCTGTAGAGTGCACTTATTACTATGTTCTTTTCGATTAGATTAACTTTAGTTTTAAGAATTTTAATGTTACCTAATTGCACAATTTCATATTCATAATCATATTTACTCTTTAGGTACATCAATACTCCATCATTTTGATTATAATCTCCTTCGTTATAGATCATATTGTAACCCGGTAGATTATATAAAGTGCAGTCTGATAATATTCTAGTTTCTGTAAAAACAATACAATCAAATTCTCCATCAATGTTTTTTAAAAATATTTTGAATTCATCTATATTTTTGTGCACACTCCGTATATTATTGTGTATTATTTTAAAATTGTTATTTAGTTTGTTGACCTTTAAAATTTCTTTACATTCAATTTCTGTATCTAAGGTGTAAGTTTTTACAGGATCTAGTTTGAAATCATGTATATATTGATCCATATCTGATTTTGTTAATTATACTAATTTTATATCTAGTTTAAAAATAATAAAAAAAATGTAATAAACAGTTAACCAAAATTCTTAGATTTACTTTAGTCAAGGAGCAGTTTCATAAAGGGTATTTGCTTTATATTAGTAAAAATTAATTTAGATTTGTTTAGAATTTGATCCAGATCTTGTCCTTTTTTCAAATTGGTTCTTTGGAATAGGATTTTTTGGCAGAGTGGGTTTGGATTTCTGATTCTTACTTTTTGGAGTTGCCGTATTTTTTTCATCCGGTTTATCTTCTGTTTGAATGTTTGTTGTATCACGGTCTCTATTGTTGAGGTCCTCTAAATTATTTTCCGTATTATTTGAATTATTTGAAGGAGTGGATGGTGCACAAAGTGATTGGCTTTGTTCTTTTGGAAGTATAGAGTTCTGTAGTTCTTCTGCTGTATAGGATTTATTTCCAACGTATAATTTTTCTCCCTTTATATAGCTTCTTTCGTTGGCGTTTCTGCGGGCCTCTTTTAAATAATTCGTTAAGATTTTTATTTCCTCTCGTTGTATTTCTGTGAGATCCTGTACAATTTTTATATTAGTTGATTTTAATTTGTTGCAGTTTTGAAATATTTGTTTCTTTTTTAGTGACGAGATTAATTCTAATTTTAATGGAGAGGTGTCTGAATTCCCTAACGAATATAAGTTAGAGATATCCTGTTCAAATAAATCTATTTGGAGTAATCGTTTTATTTCCTCACAGATGAAGGCCACACTTCTTTCAAATTTTGGTTTGTTTAATCCGAAAATTATTATATTGTTACGTTTTTGATTTCTTTCAATGTTTTCCAATTTCTCTTTAAGATGTTGATTTTCTACTTCTAGATTGCTGATTCTTTTATTCTGTTTTTCAATACTCAGTGCTATTCGCGCTTCTGACGCTTCAATAGAATTTTTTAGTTCTTGTTTAGTGCTTATTATTTCTTGAAGAAGTTCAGTCTTAAAGCTTAGTAGTAGACTTCTTATTTGTTCTTCTGATGCCATTATTTTGCTTTTTATTTCTTATGTTTAAAATATTTACTTTACAGGCTCCCGGACTATATCATATTTTTATTTTAGACGACAATGTGCAACTATTTAATGAAATTTGTATTTTCTCAAAATCAAGTAGTTTTTTTAGACTTTTTAGATATAATTATTGAAAGATCGAGTTTGTAAATCAATATCCACTTACTTTTCAATTGTAGTTGTGTCTTTTCACTATTAATTATTTGAATTTGGAAGAGCACACTAAAAGCACGTCTGAATTAAATGAGTACTCGAAAATATATACATACACAATTTGATTTATATAAGTTGGTGCATTCCAAAGTTTCTCTTCTTTACGCGCTTGTTTAGATTTTTTGATTTTTGCTAAGAAAGTTAAAATGGTTTATTTGTATTTTAGCATACTATAATTTAAACTTTTTATGACAAGAAAGGTAATTTGTAAACTAGTAATAAACTTTTCAAATTTCTTCCTAAAACGATACTAATTCCGGGTCTGCTTATGTAAATTTCTCAACGGTTGAAGGCTTGAAAGCAGAAGTAGAAAACTACTCTTCGATGGTTAGATATTTTTAAGTTCCTTTACTCACTGCCGGGGACCGCCACGTCCCGGGACACCTTCATTGCGGAAAGTTATACCCATCTTTTTCTTGCACGAAATGCGATTCCTTGTGTGTCAGACGCAAGCCTTAATAAATGTTTTATATTGTGCTTCTACTTATCTCATTGGTACTCTAGGACCGCAGCACCACTGAATACCAGTGGTGGCTGCACCGAGCATATAGGGTTGCCAGATGTCAGATATCCCAATTTAGGTGGGAGCCTCCAGCTTATTCAGTCATTGAATATTTGACAATACCTTTTTTTTTAAGAAAACTTTCATAAAATCAACAAATCAACGCTTTAAAATAGCTTTTTAAGTGCTTTTAAAAAACATTTCCCGCATGGAGGCCCATATTATTTTTTAGTTTTTTAGGGAAAAGAATATAAAATATTAAATAATTTGTTTTTATTAAATCCACACTTTGCGAACAATTTATAATTTTCAAAAATTCTTCATATTCCATATTTATTTGATGGATAATAATGAAACGGTTTGTGAATCCATATTTTAAATTAAAAATGATGTAGTGAATAATGTCAATTGTAAAACAAATATGGTTAAGTTAAAACTTACAAATACAAATCGTCTAATAACAAAATTCCTATTTAAAAAGAATTGTTGTAAAGTACGATTTCTAGCCATTTTGTATAAAATATGTGATGAGTAGTTTTAAATATGCTAAAATGTCAATACTTTTAGTTGATATCCTTATTTTTAAATATTTCTTTTAATCGACAAGGTATCGCGGTGATTTTTATAAAGAAACCGTTTTATCCCAAACATCTCCAGTTTCTACAAATCATTAATAATTTGTTTTTTTAGGCTGTACATAGTGGACAAGCTGCTGCTCATGTGTCTGTCAGCGCAAGAGATTCAAACAGATTTACAGTATCTGTAAATGTAGAGCCGCAAAAGAAGGCGATATTTTATTTAAAATACGAAGAACTATTGGCAAGACAAAACGAAAGATATGAACTAGTGATTAATATTCATCCAGGACAGCCTGTTAAACAATTAGACGTCCAGGTAAGTTTTATTAAAGAACCCGTAAATAATTTAAAGTGCAGGGTTTGATAGTAAACATTTGAAAACCATATTATTGAAGTAATACCCTTGAGTGTCTCGGTGTCAGCAACAAAGTTACTTTATTTTGGGTTCCGGGACACAGCGGTGTGAAGGGAATAGGAGTTCATAGGACCAGAAACATTCCTGGGCATTGCAAAGAGCACTGATAGAGCAATTATCTTAAAATGGACGAAGGGTGCAACATTCACGAACTGTAAACATACAAGGCGCTTTATGACCAACCCGTCCATGAACGCCTCTGATCAGAACCGGAAATATACTAGAAAAGATCTACATGTTTTAACGGTACTGATGACAGGACATTGTCGTCTAAGTAACCACATGAGAAGGATATGTCTGCAATAAACATCGGAGTGTCGATTCTACAGCGTGGAAGACGAATCTGCAGAGCACATTCTACAGGGTGTTCCATCTCAGACGAGCCACCCCCGTATATTTCTTATCTCATAGTATTTGGAAAAATTTCCCGAAACACGTCGGATGATTTTCTTTGGAGGACATCTTTTGACGTATATTTGAGGCTTGAACGAGCAACCCCCTATGAGGGGGCGCTTCAACCCCTCAAAATTAAATAGGGAAGAACTATTTTTTTAAGAATGTGATTTTCTTCATACACCGTTGTAAAGAGGCTTCCAAGACCTTACAAATGAAGTATCACTCAACTCCTCTTCCCTATTCAATTTAGAGGGGTTGAAGCGCCCCCTCATAGTGGGTTGCTCGTTAAAGCCTCAAATATACGTCAAAAGATGTCCCCCAAAGAAAATCATACGACGTGTTTCGGGAAATTTTTCCAATTACTCTGAGATAAGAAATATACTCCGTTTTAAAAAGAACTATGTCCCAGATCTTCGGATTCACTCGACTGGAGCCTACCGACTTTTAAACATATCTCACCCAATCCAACTATGCCCTTTATCAAAAGATGTGGCTTGTACAGTAAACAATAAGTTAGAAGGCATAAGATCATGCCAATCATTTTCAACCTTACCTAACTTAAGGCTATGCTTGGATTAAAGAAAGATATTTTTAACAATTATTTCAAAATTAAATCAAATTTTTTCCAATCCAAAAATTGGCTTCATTGCGGAGTTTTCTCCGAGACAGACACTCACTTTATTTTCATGATACCTCTATCAGTGTTTTCATATTAATGACTTTAAAAGAAGCTCATTTTAAAAGTCTTCTAGAGGACATAAAAAGCTTTGCTCCAAAAATTTGTCACTTCCGTTATTTAACGTTGAAAGGTTTTAATTCAGTTTTTGGTGAATAAATAGTCACCTTCAACGAGCCATAACTTGGTTCGTATTGCATCTGCAGAAACAAATACCAATCCATGTTTTAAGAAGGTTTTTATTTATTTTTCATTTTTTTTTTATAAAATGTAAGATTCTTGAGGTATTCGTGAAAAATAACTGTGAATCATGAGTTTTTTGAATTTTAAATCACGAAAAATATTGATATATCGAAACTTCTTTTTTTAGTTTATTAATTTGCACCCCTAAAAACGGGTGGTATCCACATCCGTAGTGAACGCGCACATCAGTACTAAATAACTTACTCTCCAAATTTCACGTCAATCAGTTTAGTTCAAAAGAATTCGGAAGCGAAAAAACGTCAAACACTGTACTACTAAGTTTTAGATATCCACACTTAAACCAATTGTATCCATTGTTTTGTTTTGGTTTTTTCTACTATAGTTTTTTTGTATAGGTAAACATTGACGAATCTCGCCCACTGAAGTTCGTCAAAGCTCCTGCTTTGAGATCCGGAAACGAAATCGGCAAAAACGACGACAAACTTAGTCCGAACGCTGAAATCAATCACATAAACAAAACTGCAGCCGTCGTCAAATTTAGTCCGGATGTCGAGAAACAAAAGCAGTACGCTACCGATTTGGGAACTAACGCAGAAAACGGACTTGCTGGACAGTTTATTGTCCAGTATGATGTCGAAAGGGATCCGCAAGGTGGTGAGGTTAGTACCTACATTTGCCATTTAGGATTTTAGCGGGAACAAAAACTACTCACTTTAGTCCCCATTTTTGAATTCGAGTTAGAAAACAACTACGTATACTATTAAACAAACAGAGTCGTCCTGTTTTGGGGGTTCTTTAGGCAGCAGTAGAAAATTCATATGAGATCCACTCCATATTGAACAGTTTCAAATATTGAATGATTCAGATCTTTTTTTATTTATATTTGTTATAGGTTTTAGTCGAAGGCGGATATTTCGTTCATTTCTTTTCCCCGAGCGATCTAACATCGCTGCCAAAGCAAGTCATCTTCATCCTAGATACCAGTGGAAGTATGGACGGTATCAGGATAACTCAACTGAAAGAGGCGATGAAGAGCATACTTTCGGAATTGAAACCAATTGATGTATTCAGTATAGTTGAATTTGGATCAAATGTTAAAGTTTGGAATATCGAGAAATCGGCGGTACAGTACCGATCTGGCTTTGACACTTGGGGATTGAATGAAGAGCAAGCGGAAGAGGCCAAACATCTAACCGTAAGTTGTTTGACAAAAATGTATATAATTAAAGATTACTGAGTATTATAATTTATTTTAAGGAACAACCGATACCAGCTCCATACACAGCTTCAGAAGAAAATATAAAAAAAGCCGAAGGTGTTGTAGACCAACTAAAAGCGTACGGTGGCACTGATATCGACTCAGCTCTCAAAACTGGACTTCAAATTGTTAAGAAAAACCATGAAGATAAGAAACACCAACCCATTATAGTATTCCTAACCGATGGAGAAGCAACTGTCGGTATAACGGACACTGACAAAATCACTAGAACAGTTTCGGAATTAAACACCGGGAAAACCCCGATTTTCTCGTTGTCATTCGGCGACGGTGCTGATAGGGAATTTTTGCAGAAAATTTCGTTGAAGAACCAGGGATTTGCCAGGCACATTTACGAAGCCGCCGATGCTTCGCTACAGCTACAGGAGTTCTATAAGCAGATCTCTTCGCCGTTGTTATCCAATGTTACGTTCAAATATGCTTCTAATGTTACTGAACTTACTAGGACCGAGTTTCCAATTTTGTTCCACGGACGGGAACTGGTAGTTTCTGGACAAATAATTGGTAAGTGCTTAACTTTTTCAATTTTATCTTACATAAGATCTGAAGGTTTAGTTCTCTTTAGTCTTCTTTCTGTTTAATGCCGTTGAAAATATGTTATCTGAATATACCGGTGTATCTACAATATTTTAAAATACCTACTTTTTTTAAAATCTCAAAGCTGTACGCCATAAGACTTATACTAGATTTAAAACTTGCTTGTAGATGAGAAAATGGTTATGTACTTAGGTCATTTTGCTTGGGTCATTTGGCATAAAAACTAGATATACTAATTTTTTGTTTTAATAAACATCTAAATTACGTTCACGTTGAATGTAGATCCTTTTGGCATTGCTACTATGCAAGTTTTTTTATTGCAAATAATATCACTCAATCCATTTGTTCCATTCGATTCGAATCAATAATAACAAAGATATATGCTAATGGCGTTTGGCAATGTTTTCAAGTTGTTGTTATTTAAATACGTCCTCGTCGTTGATCTTACGTTACTCCTTCGACTTGAAAGAACTCGATAGTCCTACGTTACTTATTTAGCTCCTCCTCTTTTTCTTCTTCTTCGTCGACTTTCCAGAGGCTTCTTTAACGTGTCTCCAAACTGAACATGGATCCTAAATCTATACGAGATTTATAATCACTTATGAGCTTAGGTCCTTGCCGTCACTAGTATTACAAACGTTTTTCATTGTAAATGACATCTAAATGGCAGTTCACGCTATTGCCTCGTTCTAATGGAAATAATAATAATAATAATAATAATAATAATAATAATAATAATAATAATAATAATAATAATAATAATAATAATAATAATAATAATAATAATAATATTAATAATAATAATAATAATAATAATAATAGAGATATACTGCCGCCCCAACAAGAAAGGTCCTATCTGCAAATTTTTTGTTTCCAGATAATTGAGTTATTAACGGGTACTTTGTTCATTTTGGATATAACCTAAAATATTAGTACATTTAAGATGTGCTTAGGATATTCAGCTTTGGTACCATGACAGATAACATGTGGACAAATACAAAGAGCGGACTTTTCTCTCTAGTACAAGCTTGGCAGTAATACTACTCATGTTTCGTCATTGTAAATGAAATCTGAATGATATTTTACGTAAAATGCGTTCTCGTATACCCTTCATATGATTCTTCTATGATCATCGTATGACGCTAAGCAGCGAATATTAAGGAGATTATGGCTACTGCGCATGCTGTTCGAGAACTCTCTTTGGATATCTTGTTTTAGCTTCTCAATAACTTCATCTGCATTTGCTTCATTTGGTAAAATAGCAGTTTCATCATCAAACATGTTTTGACATTGTTTATTTTTGGTATATCGTCATGGTATCGTTCTGGTAACGTTCTGGTATCGTTCTGGTATAGTTCTGGTATAGTTCCCGTATCGTTCTGATATCGTTCTGATATCATTCTGGTATCGTTCTGGTGTCGTTCTGATGTCGTTCTGATGTCGTTCTGGTATATCGTTCTGGTATATCGTTCTGGTATATAGTTCTGGTATTTCTTTCTGATATATCGTTCTTGTATATAGTTCTGGTAAATCGTTTTGGAATATTGTTCTAGTATAGTTTTGGTATATCATTTTGATATATCCTTCTGGTATATCGTTCTGGTATATTGTTTTGGTATATCTTGATGATATATCATTCAGGTATATCGTTCTGGTATATCGTTCTGGTATATCGTTCTGGTATATCGTTCTGATAATATCTTTCTGGTATAATGTTCTGGTATAATGTTCTGGTATATTCTTAGTAAATTGTAGATACAAGGCAGGATGAAGGTTGCTATCTTGTGGTATTTCTGCTCTAGTTTGTTATATGTATGAAATGGTCCTTTTTACATGGAAAAGGATGAAAATGGAATTAAAACCTCCAGAACTCCTAAACACAAAACTAAACTTTGCAACAGAGGTGAAGTATTTAGGTCTCACCTTTGACAGCAAGTTAACATGGAACTCGCATTTAGAAAACAGAGTCGAAAGAGCACACACTGCTTATGAACAATGCCGTCGAACCGTGGGGCGCTCCTGGGGTTTCTCCCCCAGACTCATCGCATGGACTTACACTGCTATCATAAGACCTATGCTAACATACGATGCAGTTGTATGGATATTGAAAACACAAAAATTGACAGCTATCTAGAACAAATTCAAAGAACAGCATGTCTCAACATAACAGGAGTCTTGAAAACAACATCGATCACAGCTATGGAAGTCATACTTAGTCTCACTCCCCTTGATATTTACATCAAGGAGGTTGCTCTGACGTCAATGACACGCCTTCGCACGGTTGGAATAGAACCTGATGTAGGATTTAGATAGGCAAGACGTGGCTTTTGGCAGGAGGCGCTCTATTCGCTCCCACTGCTTCAAGCGAACATGAACTCCATCTCACTGAGATATATCTTCCATAAGCCATATAAAGTTGTAACAGAAAAAATAGAAGAGCCGGAAGTGGCAGGTACGATTCATATCTACACCGATGGTTCTAAAACAAAAGGTTCAGGATGTAGAATATATTCCAGATCCTTAAACCTTAACATAAAATGGGCTGTGAGCAATAGTGCCAGTGTAGTTCAAATAGAGCTCACGAGGATTCTCATAGCAGCAAAAGAAATCACCAGAAACAATATCATTGGAAGGAACATGCTGATCTATACAGATAGCAGACAAGCACTGAACACCCTGAACAGACCACGAATTTATTTAGGATTAGTACTAGAATGTCAGGAAGTTTTGGCCGAAGTATCCATTAACAACGTGGTCACCTTAAGATGGATCAAAGGTCATGGCACATCGAAAGATATATAACCGTCTTGCTGATTCAATGGCCAAGAAAGCAAGCAGCCAACCAAATACTTCTTGGACCTGGCCCTTCTACACGTTACAGATACAGATGTATAATTCTAGAAGTTGTACATACTGAGGATTATGCAGTGCAGACTTCTTTCTCTTCATAGACTTTCTATTAAATTTGAAAATATGTCGACTTGATCTATTGTAGATTGTTTTGACCGAATTAATGTATTTTTATTAGGTTTCTTTCTATAATCATTTTAAGCCTCTCAAAGAGTTCTGATATCATTAACAATAGACAAATAATGATTTAAGTTCACTTGATTTCCAGGTTTTCCAGGTTTTAGGATTATAATGACTTTTGAAATCTTCCATTCACTTAGTAAATGCTTCAGTCGATGATTTATAATATTTAGATTTCATTTTACATATAATATTATTAATTATATAACATTTTCAGATCCAGGTTTCTCGCCTTCATCAGTCGAAGGCTGGAGCATCAATGGACCAGTCAAACTGACACCGGTTATTCAGAACTCTGTCGGTAATTTAGAAAGAGTCTGGGCTTACCTTTCTTTAAAACAACTGTTGGAAAAAAGGGACGCTGCCGATGATAAGGAAGCTAAAGAAGGACTTACGCAGGAGGCGTTGAGGATAGCATTGAAATATTCTTTCGTTAGTGATGTAACGTCTTTGGTTGTGGTTAAACCTAACCAAACGGACGCTGTTGATACTGAAGATGGTTCTCACAATGATAGACGTAAGTATAAGAACGATTTTTTAATATTATTTAATGTTGTTACCTCATATTCAGACCAATTGGTTATTTGCATTATGCAGTTTGTATAAACAATAGACTATTTGCACAAATATAATTGGCTATTTATTCATACCGTATGTAATAAATGCTCCACACAAAAAATATTTCTAAAGTTAGCATTGACGAGATTCGCGCATGTCAGAGCGTAAAATAATTCTTTTTTTAACTGTATTTGAAACTTTATCTTTGTCGGTCATGGTCTACTTTAGAAACTTATTTGTGGATCACTATTTACCCATTTTATTTGAAAATTTACACATTTCGTAGGTAAAAAATAATGGACTACTTACATAAAGCTTCTTTATGAATAATTGGCAATTTATTCGCACCGTATGAGGGGTCCGATTACAATTAGAAGAACACAGCTACGTCATCATTTGGCAAAGTAATTAATTGGTTATTGCCGCCTAATGGGGGTTTAGTGGAGTGTCAATATTATAAGAATAAGAAATATTGTTTTACATCTAACAACTTACTTAATTTTCGTTTATTGAAAGTTATAGATAATATGCATTCGAAATTCGAAGTAATGGTTATGACGTAGCTGTGTTCTTCTAATTTTAATCGAACCCTACGAGTAATTGGCTATTCGCGTATTCCGTTGTAAAAATAATGGAATATCTTCGTAAATTGTCTTTACGAATAATTGGCCATTTAATCACATCATATATATATAAATAATTGTCGATTTACACCTAGCGCACGATTAGCGCACGATTAGAGTACGATTAATTGGCTATTGGTAGGCATTAGATTGCTTGGATATTTGCACATTCCATTTGTAGACATAATGGATCATTTTTCAAAAATGCCTCTACGAATGATTGGCTATTTTTACACATACTGTTTGTATGAATAATTGGCTACATGTACCAATTTATGTGTGTAAATTATTTTCATGATTTTCAGGAAATAGGTTAAAAATACGTTTTTGTACGAATGTTTTTTATTTTAGGGTACCCTATAATTGCTTCAGGATTCCCTCTGTCAGGTAAGTTGTTTCTTATAATTTAAAAACTCAGTGTTGGCTTTAACTATAATTTGTCGCTTTGTGTTATTTATTGGGTCTCGAAACAAATGCACATTTTGGTTCATGTAGTAATTATAACCGTAGTAAATTATGATCATTTTAAAGTGTAATACATTTTATTTACTTTCTCTTTTATGGGTAGATTTTGTTAATTTTAAGGAATGGTTAACAATGTTTTAATTAATTATACGTTATAATAGTTTGCAAGAAGTTTTCTCGACACAGAGAAAACGATACTTATAACTCAGGCGCCAGTTTCATTAACGTAGTTTCATCTACAAACTTTTGATACGGTATCAAAAAGGACTCTGGTAGTCTTGGATGGAGATACAGATTTTCATGGGTCAAGTTGATACCAGACTTTGACCCTAAGAGGGTAAAAGTAACGGGTTTTAATTGTTATTGATACGTTACATGATTAAATAACTTCAATTAAAGGCCAAGAGATAATACCTATTAAGTTATCGTTATCATCGTCTTCGTTCTCGACAGACTCTGGTGAATTTCTTATTTTTTCAACTACCAATAAATATAAGATGACATTTATTGCTTAACCTTCACCTGGCATGCTCATCCTGAATAACATACCTGAGACGTACGAACGAATTCCAGTGATAAAATCTTTATAAAACTTGAAATATTGATTATTTTGTCTCAAATAAATTCAGAAATCCTCTTTAGATACTACTTTAAACTGTAGAATAGTAAGAGTTGAAAAAAATAAAGATCAGCGTTTTAAAAAATCCGGAAAACTGAAAAACTTAAAAAAATGCGTTTTTACAAAAAAAAATTCATAACGTTTTTGTTTTTCGATAAAAAGGGCTAAAATTTTAGCTGTGTTTTCTTCTGTTACATCACTACAAAAGAATAATAATTGTTTTCATGGGTCTTTAACCTAGGTATAAAAGTATATCCCTTGACTACCGATAGATGTCGTTACGAGTTTCGATTTCTAAGATTTGGATTTCGAAAATTGACGAGAAAGAGCGTGGGAGGCCACGAGGTAAGGTGAAGGTTAAAAACTATTGAAATAAATATAATAATTCAAAAGCTTTAACAAAGAAAATAAAATAATATTCTAGTGACGACTTGGTAGCTACGATCTTTGAAAACGGACACTACGTTGGGTTCAATGCTCAGTAAGTGTCTTCTTCAACAGAGCGATGTAAGCTGCTGGTTTCTTGCAAGTAAAAGTTTGTTCGGGTACGGGGACTTAACGTTGACGTCTTAAACGGGTTTATAAACCGTATTCGTCTGTATCGAGAATAAGACGCAACACGTCTAATAGTAAAATTGGTAAACTCAACAAGTTTACCAATTGACGAGATAGGATAAAAAATCAGTGGCACGTACCACTTGGGGAAAAGGAGAGAGCTTCTTCAGCTGCACTAGAAGAATCAGGAATCTGGATTCTGAGGGGATGAGGTGGAAAGAATGGCAGTAGATATCTGAGAAGATGTTACTAATCCAACATTTGCCAACTGCTATGAGAAAACCTTTCAGGTCAAGTGGTAGTAAAGATCGAACCAACTGCCTTCTGAATGCGAGACAGATACGTTGTTGTAGAGCCACCTGCTCAGATACTTGTCCTTTTATATACGTCGATGGTGTCTGGTCTTTGTGGAAGGGTTCGCATAACTCGTTATGGCTGCCACTCTGGTATATGCTTTGTTATTAAACAAGGGATGGAGTAAGTAAACGTAGAGGAAAGCACCACAAGAATTAATGTAAAGTAAGTTGCTGTTCAGGAAATAACAAGTAAACCACCTGTGAGATAACCTGGACCACACTGAAACTGTATTAATTCACGTATTAAAATTTAGATTAATTCTTTTGACACTTTCCACCACTCATGTTACTTATTTTAATACTTTATACATGATGGTTATTAAATGAAGCTAGTCGCGTTTCTCCCTTTGTTACATGGAGAAAAGTAGCTTGGAATTTTAACACTAACCCTAAATCCAAGAAAGCACCTGGTTTTAATATGATCAACAATTATAACAGAGGTATTATTATTAATAAATAATTGTGGGTTTTTGTTTGCATTATCCTATAGTCCTTGAAAAAATCTATATCTATTTTATTTTTATTATTATTTGTTGATGGTATTCCTTTTATAGCGATAGCGTCATCGAAAAAGGGCAAGCCACAAATCTTGTCAGCAGCAGGTGTGTTTAACCATATAATATTTGCATCTCTACAGGATATATTGAAAAGTATATGATAGTCAATTTTCTTGCCATACGATACAAAAGATTCAAAATAGAGTGTTCGCTGGTGATTCCCTGTCTAGCAAATTTCTACTTATCCTTATCCTCTACAATCTTATTAATCTAATTTACCCAATATCTATTTTTCATCCCTCTACCTAGTAACTTTGCGAAACAGATATCATAAATCTACTTTTGACTTTGTTTAATTACCGATCTGGATACTTTTCAATCCATCCTAATGCTTTTGCATGCTTGTAAGTAATAGTAGTTTATGCAATAAAAGTGGATATGTGGACAATCCACTCGAGTTGTACAGTATATTTTTTCTACGACCCACTAACGAAAATTTACAGATAAACAAAATATTTTCGGTTAATAAGACAAAATAACTAATTTTTAAATAATTTATGACATTTGATCATTTTTAAAATAAAATAAAGAAAAAAAATTAATTTAAAAATCCTCTGCCGAGGCTCAAACTTGAGTTTCTCGCGTGGAAGGCAACTACTCTCATCACCTGCCTACCGGCAGATATGGGAAAAAAATTTAATACTCATAATTGAATTATTTATAATTATAGTATAAATAAAAATAGTAATGCTATTATTTATCGATTCTAGACAAAAATGAGTAATTTTAATGTATATTTCAATAACTAAAAAATAAACTGACAGTTTGACAGAATTGTCATTTATTTAAAATTTTAATAATAATAGTCGTCAGGTGACCAAAATATGAACTGTGATTGGCGAATTTCATTTTTTTGCAGTGTTCTCACTACATAGAATGAATATAAAATATATTCGTTTAATTAATGGCAATAGTATACTTTTTTATTTTGTAATCTGTGCAAGTTAATATACATGTGGGTGTAGAAAAAATATATTATCAAAAGTTTACTAATCTAATAGATTGTATCAAGGGAATGGTGAAGTCTCTAACAATGAAAAATGTATTAAGCAAGAATAACTTAAGTCCAGGTTGTCTTAGCTAAATAACCTATTTCGTAAAAATTACCAATAAAATTAAAAATATAAATCGTTAATAACTATCTTCAGAATTGATTTAAGTGACCCACTAAAGGTACCAAGTAGATACAGTTTACAATGAGAACAAAATCTTGGATTAAACTAAAACGTTTAACTTTCTATGTTTATAGCCAGTGGTTACTATTCAGCTCCAATAGCACCTCTTAGTCCAGGAAGCAGCGGAGGAGGGTATGGAGGTAATGGAGGAGCCTTCGGTTGGGGAGTGATGGAATCCATAGAGGAGGATGACACATACGGTGACCGTATCGTAGGTGGTAATTCTGGTAGTAAACTGTTTATACGTCCATCGACAACTTATCCATCAACTTCAGCGACGGCTTCAGCGGTTGCTCCAGTTGAACCTCAACCCGTACCAATACCGCAATCTGAATTGGAACGTTTGAAGGAGAAGTTGCCTTGGTTGGCAACCATTTTAAGCGATGATGGAACTATTAAAATTTCTGCAGGTAATTACGTCCTCCAAGCAAAATATAATAGTTGAAGCCAGTAACACTTTCAGGTATCTTATTTTCGTAACGAAAAATTACAAATTTTTCGTTCATTCTTACCTTATAGGATATGGAAATACTTTGCTGCACTCCCTGTAGCGGTAAAGTGGTCGACAACTACGACTTAAATAAGCCGTTGTGACAAAATGTTATTTTTTTTATACAAATTTTGAATGGGCCATGTTCAGATGTAAGATATGGTGTTTTACAAATTATATTGTAATAGTTACTACACAAGTTATTCTAAATAATCAGTTTGTTAAAAAAGTTAAAAGTTTTTAAAGTAAAACCATTTATAATTTAAAATTTGAAATGTGTACATCATATATGGATTTGGAAGACGTCTTTAAGACACCTTAAAACGTCTTTGAGCTTTTACATTAATACTTCTGAATTATGGCTTTTGCCAGACGTCTTAATAACGTCCTAGGGCATTGAGACCAAACCAAAATACAAAAAAGACCTTTTTTAGACGTCTTGTGCTATCTGGGTTCTAAGATCCTCCATTCAATAAATTTCTAATATCCTTCATTCTAGTACAATTAGACTGTTGTCCCTCTACAGTCTAAAGGATGTCACAAGAGTAATTTAAAAAGCATTAAGAGAGCTTGGGAGGGATTCAAATTTGTGTCTGCGCCGGTAAGAGTCGAAATCTGATTGACCTCAAATCTACGAGTTCGGATGTCGAAGATATTGCTGTCCGAAGGTTCCTGGTGGATGCACTATTTTTTTCTTTTTTTAATTATCACTTTTTCTTTGGTTTATTTTCACTTTGAGGATATAGGAGTGTATTTTTCATAATTTCGTAGGTGAAATTGGGAACTATTCATTTCGATATTACCAAAAAATGCAGAAGAATGCTTTTATTTAAAAAATGCCTATTATTTTAACTAGAGAGTAACCTTTAAGAAAAGTTCATTCGAAGTTTCTATTATATTGAAAATTAGACCCATGTAAAAAATATAAAAATGCTTTACATATGAATTGAAAATTAGAAATTTATTAATTTATTTTATTTATTACGTGTTATTATTTGTAGGAAAATTCAACTTGGGTCTAAATGAAACAATCTCTACTCAACCAGAATGTCCCAAATCTCCATCCAACGCCCCAGGAACATGCACGCTCATAAACAAATGTCCTCAAATTTTCACCCAATTGACTGATCTTCATGTTTACGAAAAGTATTTTTGTGATATACAAGGGTAAGAATTATTATTTTGTTTTATATTAATATATTGTAATTCCAATTTAAAAGAAATGTTTGAAATGTAATTCGATTTTGTTTTTTTTACAGATTTGCTGGTGTTTGCTGTCCTAAATAAACTTAAAATAATATTACAATAACCTGTAAGATTTAGCTTAGTGTATTAGTTGTACTTATTTTTATATTCAAATAGCAAAATATGAAAATAAATAATTAAAAAGAGAAAACGGTTTTTCTTTAAACACAGGTTTCGAATTTAATAATTACAAACATTTTTAATATTATATGCTTACATAATTTTCCTGGAAAATTTCCATACCAGATTATGAGGAATGTCGAGTAGTATAAGGAATTTTTTTCGTAAAATTAGCAGAAAAAAATCGAAAAAATGAGAAAATTTTTATGTTCCTATTTTTTTACGTTTTTCATCAATCGATAGGAAATTTTCGGAAACTGTTAAATACGCTGTCAAAAAAGTTGGCCTTGTAGAGAAAACACTTCTCCGAAGGAAATGCTGTTTTGACCTGAAAGCTAGTGTTACCTAATATTTGAATTCTTTGTTACACTTTGAATTACCGATTAATGACTAATGAATTTTTGAATAAACTTGAATATTAATAAAAATTGTTTTCTTTGTTTCGACCATGTTAAATCCCTGTTAAATCGTCTCCTGGGTAGCTATTCTTGAATTCGAGGGAGTAGAAAACCGGTTTTTCCTCTTTATCTCCAACGCACAAAATTTGTATTTGTCTCATTCTTCCCTGAAATTTTCTACTCCCTAAGATTCAAGAATATATACCCTGGGTAGATGAAGTCTGCCGAGACATGGAGAGTGTGGCAGAGGGTCCTCTCTGTTCGAATATCGACCCCAAAAGCACAGTGGTTAAAATGCGGGTATAGAAGGACCCATAATTATTGAACACGGATAAAAAACTAGTGTATCCTTATTTTTATGAAAAACCGCTATAAGGCCAAATTTAAACGTTACAGTATATCGAGACTACTGAGAGCTTGGAGACTACTTGAAGTTACTTCGACATTACTTGGAGTTTATTCGAAATCACTTGGAGTTACGTGAAGTACGTCGAAATTTGCTTTGAACTACGTGGAAACTTGGAGCTTGCAAGCTACGTAACTTGGAGACTTAGAGCCACTACAGGTTTAAAAAAAAGGACCTCAGTAACAGGAATAGTACATCTACAGGAAATCTAATGGACTTATGCATAAATAGGACAAATATTGAAGTTACATTATCTGAACAGAATATAAAATATCAGAACAAATATTAAAGTTACATCATCTAAACAAAATACAAAATATTTATAGGGCCAAAATAAGTTATAACAATAAGTTTTACGTCATTTAAATAAAATATAAAATATTTATAAGGCCAAAATAAGTTAAGAGTCTTAGATTTCTGTTTAAACTGTATTTCCAGACTGATTTGTAATTCAATTATTTAATTGCCTTCCCGCGCATATATCAAAGAAAGTCTCAAAATATTATTAGGTAGGGTAGCTATAATCAATATAAAATAAAATAAAACAATAATAACAACCGGCATTCGTCGGCATGGTGATAATAAAAAAAGGAAATGGCCGACCTTCCGGCTTTCCGACTAAATCAAGCAAAGCGTTAAAAAATTTGTTAAAAAAAAACATTACCTGACAATTACCCCAACGGTAGCACATAGGCACATACGAAAGACACACGATAATTATTTAAATCCACTCATAACAACTACAAACTAGTAGATTTGAACTCAATAAACAAAAAGGCCGGTTAGATCAACGCCAGCAACGCGCGCAAGGCTTACTTTGTAAATCCAGAAAAGCGAGCGGTTGTCGTTTAATTTTGTCATTTACGAGGGGTTATGGAGAGGTTAAAAAAAATTTAAATTAATTTCACGTAACACTAGCAAACTTCGTAACTACACGTACTTAGGTTTTCTATTTATTCTTTATTATATGATGTCATCATAAAGTTAGGGTTATACTTTAAAGTGTTATATAATTTTAAGAAACAAGGCCGGTAGCAAAATGTAAATCTAACCCAGTTGATCAAGTAATATAAAAAAAATTGGTATTTATAAAAACGCAGGAAAAATTAAACGATTCTCTTAGGGGAAACTTGCTGCAATTTAATAAAAAATGCTAAATAATTCTGTGTACAATTTAGAAGAACAATTGTTGAGTGTACAGCAGCAAAATTGACGACATATCGAACATTTGCGTTAATAACTGTTGGAAATTAGAAATCACACTATTTAAGATATCGAATTTCTTTCACATCCTGTTATTAACTTATAAATTCTTTAAAATGTATAGTAAACTAAAATATATCCCTTACTTTATGACAAGCTTGTACGTTTTAAGGAACGAGCTACATTACTTTGTAAATAGAGTACCTTTACCTCTATAAGACTCAAAAACTGGCTTATCGTAGCTACAAATTTTATTTATAAAACTAATCATTAAACATTAAATTTTGAATAACTATAAATAAGCTTCATTTTACAATTCCTTCACTTAGAAAACCTGGAAATAAATACAATGTTATTTTAATAATTTTTTAACCATTAGTTAACTACTATATTATGTTTAGAAGTAGTAAAATTCGAAAAATATACATACCTAAATTTCTGATTGAATCCGTAATTGAATAATTAACATTGTCTTTGATTCCCCTACTATTTTGTCCTAAAAGAAGTAATACAAATGTTTAGCAAATTTTAATACGTAAAGTTAGACGTCAAAACTAAGAAATAAATAAACATAAAATAAATAAATAAAAAAAATAAATAATTATAAAATAAGTTCAAATTTAAATAGTCTTTGAGAGATATGCAATAAAACAATCCAGGATTTTTTAGTAAAGCCGGCAACGGCGCAAGTAGTTCAGTTGCGACCATAGATTAGGGAAAAGTAAATGGGGTTTATTCTGTAAAAATTCCTTTATATTTAACGGCCTTTAAAAATATTTTCTTCTTTAATTCGGTCATTATTTAAACGGATCTTTAAAATACATTAGAGGACTATCTTAAAGAAATCTGTTTAAATAATGATAGAAGTAAATTAACAAATACGAACATATTTTTATAGGCCGCCAATATTTTTAAAGGCCGTTACATATAAAGGAATTGTTACAGAGTAGACCCCAATATATGGGAAAAACAATGGTAAAATTCTGTCAGAGTAGTACAGAGAGAACAGTAAACAATGATTGTGTTGCCTTGAAAATATAGTCGAGAATAGCATCAAAGATTCAAATTAGAGAGAAATAGATTAATCTCTCTGTATTTATTTTTCCAGTTATTTTTAGAGAATTATTCAGGTTTTTAAGACTTAAATTCGTTCAAGTATGGTGGTGTTAAAAAAGACTTTGGTTTGTAGGGTTTATTTTATACTAGGAAAAAACTTGTGTTTTATATAGTTTCAAATATAAAAGAGGAAGTGAGGTTACGTTTCACTCGTTAATATTATTTCTTACCAAAGAACATAAAATATGAATATTATATTTAGTGTTCTAAAAGACGAATTAGAAGAAACTTATGGTTAGAGGCACTTGAATGGATTGAAATGTTAGAATTTGAACGAATATATTACATTTGTTCAAGGCACATTTTAGAGGACGGCTTTGCTGCAACAAGTTTGTACGTTTCTAAATAATATCGGGCACTTTTAAAAATTGTATCTTTACTTTTTAGGAACTTTATATTACACAAACAAAGCAGGTAAAAGAGAGTAGTGGTGAACCTATGTCACCCAAAAAAAATAGAAGGTATTGTGTTTAATAAATTTGGCGAACGAATAATGTTTGAATGTTGTTAGTAGGTATAGTAAATTCTTCAGATACTAAATCATTTGATTATGGGCCAAGTACCTACTTCTTTAAGAGTAATAAACTTGCCAACAAATAAAAGTTATAGTTTGAACAAAAGTACCTCATACACTTCAATATTAAGTTCAAGGTATGACCCTGAAACTCTCATCAACAAACTTTGAGTCACCATTAATTAAGAAGTAAATCAAACATTGGATTTAATCTAAGCTGACACATTAAATTGTATATGAATACTTATTTCAGAAAACCTAGATATTTTGGTAACTTTACATTGAAGTCTCTAGAAAATCGGTCATTATGAAACTTTTTTGTTGCCAACAGTACTGCTTCAAACTTACGAAACAGAAATAAAACATTACAGACACAATTAAGATGAGTGAAAAACTATGTGCAATATCAAAAAATTTGTGCAAAATTGCCGATTTGAGAAGAAAAAAAATATGGTATTAGTTTTTGGAAGCATACTGTATATTTGGGCATGGTCTAAAATATAAACTATCATCAGTAATATAAGAATATTTAGTTATCTAATTTAAATAAAGAAACTAGATAATTTATATTTTAAACGAGATCATTAGAAAAGTAAATAAAATTCTTATATATTTTTTAATGTCCTAAAATACTTCAACTTATGCTAAAAAGGTAAATATATATTGGTTTGTTTTATTCTTATTGGGTATATTTTTTACAAGTTTAAATTAAATGCTTTATGTATTTCTTTAGTTCTACTATTGTATAGGTTTTCAATAGGTATAGATATTTTATAGAATTCCAAATCCTTGATGTAAACCTAAATGTTTTAGAAGCACTACAGTCTATTTTTATGTATGAGAGAGTATTAAAATAATAAAGCGTTCGTAATCCATAGGCGTAGCACTTCTTTTAGTAGAAAGTTAAAATATTTTTTGAAGTTATTCCTCGAGTATACACTTATATTTTCACCTAATTAACCTGCTTATAACTTCTAAACAGCTGAATTTAAAAAAGTGCAATTTTTTCTAAAATGTTTTATTTTTCCATATCAGTTCAATCGGGTTTACTTCGCAATTATATAGTGGTGATCTAACCACCGTCATCCCACGATTTTTTGCAATTTCATCAATTTCATATTTTTTGAATTTCTCTTTATGAAGGGAACACAGTTCTTTTCTCACAGAACCGGGATGGAACTAATATTCTTTGAATTTGGCCAATTCTGTAAATCTTTTTTTAACCACTTGGTTGTGGGCATTTTTTCTATAAGTCTCGAGTGATAACTTGCATTATCCATTACTATTATACAGTTCTGAGGAAGAAGATCTATAATTTGTACGAACCACTCTTTAAAGACATCAGCATTCATGTCCTCATGGTAGTCACCGGTACGAGTCGATTCAAAAGTCAATAAACCACCTTTACCAAAACCGTTTGAACTACCGATGTGTACTATTATTAGTCTGCGCCCCTTTCCTGATGGTGGATTTAAACCAGTAGATAAATTATTTAAAAAAGACTTGTAACAGTTTCATCTTGCCAAAATTTATTTGCTTCATGTCCCTCGTTGATCCATGTTTCATCTAAATAAAATATATTTCTTCTTTGGTTTCTCATTTCTTTTATAGTCCTTAGGTAATTTCTTCTCCATACTACAATATTGCTTCTTTCTATTAAAATAGACTTTCTGGAATGCTTTTTCCATAGAAAACCTATTTCTTTTAAAAGTTTCCATAGTGTGCTTCGACTCATTTCAGGGTAATCCTTATCATCTCGAACCGAGGCAAGAACTTTGTCTACTGTCGGAAATTCTTTTCTAAAGAAGAACGCATGCACTTTCCTTCGAAGTCTTTCTTTCAAAAGATTTTCTAATTGAAATTTTGGTTTTCCTGGAGCTTTACGTGCTGTTTGAAATTCGCCACATTTCTCTTCTTTAACAACTCTGTAAATCGTAGATTTCCCAACACCAAGCGTACTACTAACTAATTCCACTGTGTCATCAACACTTTTACATAAATGTTTGTCTGTAAATGATTTAAAACAATTAAATATTAATGTTTTTTTCATTAACTGTTAAAGGACCGATTTTTTGTCGTTTACGCGGCCCTTCCAAATTTTCCATGATCACACTAGAATTCACACTGCACCTTGCAAGTTGCAACTAAACGACATTTAGTAAACTGTCAAAAATACACAACTTGGACCTCCTTACTAAATGGAAAACCTATAATCGCATTTTCGGTGAAATTTGTTGGGAAAGTATTTATCTACTTTTAATTCGATTACTGTAAAAAAAATTTGGAATTAAAATAAAACAAAATTGGCAAATAGGTACTTATTGAAAATAATCTTAAGATACGGCTATGTAATCTTTAATACACAGGGCTTTTGGGCTGTCCAAACCTTTTTCTATTGTTCTGTACAGCTTATGTTTATAAAGGACGAATAAAAGACCCAAAACTTGTAATAGCTCAGATACATTTATTACAATTTTAGGAAATATTTAAGATTATTCTGTAAAAATATGAGCGTACTAAGTTTTGCATTAGAAATGCTGTTTTATTACTCTCTCATACATAAAAATATACTAACATATTTTTGCAATATTATTATATTTTTTGACATGACAATAATGTCATATTTTGTTTTCAGTTCAATAAAAACGTACCTATCTTTTACAACATAATTTTGTATTTTTTAATCTATTTTCACATTTAAAATAACCCAACGCAATCCGTTTACGTACGCTACTGCTGAAGATTCTAATATGAGTGAGAAAGCCTGCATTAGAAGAAGAAACAATGATTTTATTAGAGCGACATCAATATTGTACAGCTTTATGCAGTGGTAGCCTATCTGTACCATACATTATCTAAGAAAATTTTGAGGCGAAGTGCTGTCATCTATCAAATTGGAGTGGTACTAAAATTCAATATGGCCGCCAGGAGCGGGATTTTTGAAATTTAACTTTCTGCTAGCTGGGAAAAAATGTAATGAAGAAAATCAATCAAAAAAAATAAATTGGAAAAATATTTGACTAGTTTCAAATCCTATTGACTGTTTTATGATTTGAAACTAATCAAACATTTGGCCAATTTATATTTATTATTTGATTTTATTTCATTATATTTTTGCATTAATTTCAAACTTGAAATAAAATGCAATTTATTTAATTTTTTTTATTACAATAAATTAAAGCCGCATCATATAATTTGTCTATTTAAACATGGAAATACTCTGACACATATGCATTTAAAAATATTTAAATAATTAAACATTTATAAAACAAACCTATAAAAATTATTTTCTGTAACAAAATCAGCTTGTATAGTATTCAAGACCTTTATAAAAGTTTTGCGACTTGAAGTGACAAATAAGTTTGAAAAAATTGAAGTTGATCAGTTTATCCAATTCTTATTCATCATCTGGGCACTATAATAAATGAATTTAGCTTTCGAGCTTAAATTAAACTTACACACGCTTCGATCCTTGAATATTTTGGGGTAAGTTTTCTTGTTTGATGTCAATGGCATTGAATCAATTTTTGATATTGATGACTGAGGCTCACATATTTCATAGATTTACAGGGTATTTTGGAGGGCCAACATTTTCTTTACAATAACAATGATCATTTAAAAACTGAGAAACAAAAATCTATTATTTTAACACTGAATCAAAAACAAGTTTATAAATATTACTTACCATTGGTGTCAAACAGTGTAAAATGCATTTTTCTTAAACACTTATTACAATTTGTTTGGTTATCCTTAATATGACAATCGCATATTTAATATGTGGTATAAATTGCATCATTACCAATATCTAGGAATGCTTTACTGTTCGTTGCTGAAATCCATCTTCCCATCTTTTGAAAATATGCTTAAAATTGGAAGGTATTGAAAAATAAATCTAGATGAATCAAAATCCAATACACCTTCAACTGCAATAGCTATTTTAATTCACAGATCACTTTTTTGAAGTTTGACAACTGACATTTCGATTCGAGCGTTATCCCGTTAATTGGAGTGGTACTAAATTACCTTCCTCATGTTTTTCTATTTGAATTATCAGCCCCTGGTTGCGACTATCATAATATGATAATAATAGGGTTGCTTTGTTGGTTACATTTTACAACTAAAATTTCATTCTAACCGTCAAAGCTGAATCAAACAAATTTTGAAAAACCTAAAAAATTAAAAATTTTGACAGCTATTTTTTAAACAAAGCATCTGCTCACCCATGTTGATAGGAACTATTTGTCTTATTTTGGGTAATTAATCACATCAGGAGTGTGGCACTTGTTTTTTGAAACAAAATCGTTTTATTAACAACGATAGAAGGATACTAACTATCCAGGTACATTCATCTTACAACAAAGCGAATGTTTTAAAATGCAGACTTATGTTTTCACAATTTATTTATAAGAGAAAAAACATTTAAAATGGCGAAATTATAAAATAATCAAAAACGTTTGGGAACAAAACCGCCCTTATTTAAAATTATAAATAAAAAAATAAATGTTAATTGAACTTTATACACACGAAAATTGTGATATTTTTTAAATAGACTCTACACAATGAGACCGATCAAAATGTTTTTCCTCATGTACTATATAATTTGGTCGGTTACCAATAATCTCTATGTGATAACGGTACTATGAAGACTAGAGATAAGAAGGCGAATCGGCATACTCAAAATACGGTCCCAAAAAAAGCACGCTAATTGAGCTTTTATAATTAACCGCATGGGCGCTGGTACTGATTACGGTGTTCAAAATACATGGCTTCTTTTGGGAATTATACAATATTGTCAAAATAATAAAAATAAACTTGTTTATAGCTAAATAAAGCACAGAACATACTGTTCTATTTCTAAATAAGTCTTGCATGTTTTAATTGATAAATTATTTAATTTTAAATATATAAAATACAAATGAGGTAGGTATGACCAAATTAGAAAGAGGTTTGTTAAATGCTAAAATTTGATAAGTACAATTTTGTGGCAATTTTTTTTTGAATTGAACCTATATATATATAGTTTTAAGAGCAAAATAAAAGTCAGTTAACAGATTTTTATTGTTGTAATACAAGTATAAAGGGAGATTTGGGAATGTACATGGTATTACCTCATCCTTTTATTTCAGTTTTCCCCATTTTATTTTGCTAACAGTACCATCAGTAAAAATAGTCTCATAAAAAGTATAGAACACCATCATCTCTAGAAAGTGCTTTATCGGGACTAGGAACGATATATATGCTGCCACTGTTCTAAACGTTTAGTATCCTATAAAAAACATTTACAATGATACAATTGGGTTTCAATAAAAAAAAATAAGAGTAGCAACTCTTTATCTAACAATAAAACTATAAAAAATAAATATTCTTTTCTAGTATGTATAATTATTGTTGTTTGTAAATCAGGATCTATGACTGTAAAATTTTATATTATAGAAACTACACTCCGTAAGATACATATTGTGACTAGTTTACAATAAATATTATATTTAGACAAATACATTATTTTACTTACATTAGAAGCTTTAAAAAGACATTGAATTTATTTCTCCTTGTTTTCTTTAGTTTTAAATTTGATTTGTACACTGTTTTACAATCTGGAACGACGCAAATCTTGCTTTGATGTTTTTTGTCACTCATATTACTTGTACTCAGGTACTTTTTTTCACATTATTTTGATTCTTTTCACCAAGTTTTTAAAAAATCACTTCATTTTACATTGACTTACATAGAAAATTGGCACCGCTGTTATTCGACATACCAAATAGTCAATTTCGCGAATTTTATAAAAAGAAGGACGAAAATTTGACTTATGATATGTTATTCCCATACCTCCCTGGTTATTCCCTATAATATTTTTTTTTTATTTCTTCACTATCTAGGTGTGTATAATATCGTAAAGCACAAGATACCATTATGCCTGAAGGTCTTTCAACTAACACAATATAAAAATGAAAACAACGCAATAAATACCGAAAAATAAAACCACAAAACTTATAAATAAATATCACGAATGACATTACGATGGTAACACTATGCCGCAGGTGATACCGCTTTAGTATACGAGTAAATGGATCAAAGGTCACGCCACATCGAAAGGTAACCGTCTTGCCGATTCACTAGCCAAAAAAGCAGCCAACCAAATACTTATTGGACCTAGCCCTTCTATTGGCCTGACAAAATCGGTAGTGACAGGCCTAATTAAAGAACATTCCCTTGTGAAATTCGAGGAAAGATGGGATGAAACAAAAAACAAGAAACAACACTGCAGCAAACAAATACTTGACTATGACTAGACAGAATCTGCGTCTGGTCACAGGCATTCTGACTGGTCATTGCCAAGTACGGAAGCATCTCCATATCATAGGGCTGTCAGAATCCGCACTCTGCAGAGGGTGCGAACAAGAAGATGAGACCATCAAGCATATCCTTTACGATTGCCCGACGATCTCATTTATTAGAAGATTTGTGTTCGGAGAGTATCGGCTAACACCGGCCGATATAAGAGAAGCACCTCTTGGCGACGTTGTCAACTACATTAAATTTGTAGGCTGGCTGACGAGCTAGGAGGTGCCTATCATCTTAGGAGGATGCACAATGGGCCTAATGAGCCCTAAGTGCCGTGGGGGTAACCCACCCTCCACACGTTACAGATACAGATAGTATACGAGTAGCGACTTCTATTCCTGGCATTTTATTATGTTGCACGTTGCACCAAAATATTTTACTCCTTATAATAAAAAGCTGATTTATTAGATTTTTCTAACTAGCAAATGACAATTTAGAAACTTTTTTGAAATTTTTACCTGAAACACATCCTGGATTTGGACCGCCAAATTCCTTACATATACATTGAAGTTGATTTTGATATGAATTTCTAATTTCCCTAATTTCAATAACATTTTGTTGTATTCTATAATTCACCGGTTTGAAACTAGGAGAAGCAATAATTGTTTGGTCCGTAAAGCTACTACTGCTGGTACTTGATGATTTCGACACTGAAAATAAGAAGAATGTTGACACCACTACAAAGTTAATCTAAAAACTGTACTTATGTAGTTAAATTATTTTTTTATTTTTCCCCTGTCATTACTGTAGGATAAAAATAGTTGTTTATAATATTTTTTCTACGACTTAAGCAAGACGAAATGAAAATTGGAAACTTTTATTTTAAAATCTTTATTAGTCTGAATGCCACTTACACATTTATAGAAATATTAAAAGTTTGTTCTACTTACTATTGGCTATATAAAAATTATCAAACTTGGTCATTAGCTAGGCACGAAGACGTGTATGACTGGGCATCAGTTTCCGGAAGCACCTCCAAAGAATCAGAGACTTCTATGATTTTTGTTGAAGATATGATCTTAGAATATTCTGCTCTTTCGATTTCTTTTACAACTATTACTGTCGTCGAAGTGGCTTCTTTACCTGAAAATAAATAATTACAGTATCACGCTTCACACAAATAAAGAATTTGATGTTTAAATGCAAATACTGAGATGGAGACGAAGGATCAAGTAGTTGGTATAGATTTGCCAATGGAAATTGTAAAAAGCTTGTTTATATTATGATGATCCTAGGTTGGCAAATTGAAGTAACTTGTACCAGGTTAATAAATAAACACACAATCGTTAATGTATGTTTTATATTAAATAATATACTTCAAACAAAAGGAACATTGTATTTTGTTATCAAATGAGTTAATCCATGAAAGCTGCATAGTGGACAGCAACATGGACTCCAACAAACAAAAAAAGACAGGAGAGCTCTACTGCCCTGCTAAGATAAAAAGCATAAGTGACATATTTAGCGATTTTGAGTTAACTATACATTGGAGACAACAAAAAAAAACAGTGATTTTTCTGTCTAGAAATCGTTAAAACATTCATAATACAGAAGAAGTTACAGAAACACAAGTACATGATTTTTTACAAATTGTACATGCCATCATAGTGATAAAAGTCACAACTGTGACTTGTGTGTGTGTGTGTGTGTGTGTGTGGGGGGGGGGGGGGGGGGTGGGTTGGCATTAGTTTTAAACTATTTGCCACATACTAGTTTCAGATTTGTTTTTTTTTTTTTTTTTTTCAATTTTATATTTTTATATCGGCAGACCTAATAAAATTCAGAATTAAATCTAAGATATATTTTTGGTTTGAGGCTAGAAGACAGGTAATATTCAATGGCAAATGGAAACTGTTATTATTAAGATCTTTAAAGAACTTTTCTGTAAACTGTTTATTATTTTCACAATCAAAAAATAAATGATTCAAATCTGCAATCTTTTCACTATCACATGAACAATAAGGGGAATTAATTACACCGATTTTATAGAGGTGGGCTGGGAACCGACCATGATTTAATTTCAATCTAGAAATTATTGATGTGCTATCTCTGGTAAAGTCGAAGTTTGAAATGTGGGCAATATCATTGGGTAATGTTGGATGTATATGGAAGTAATGGTTTTTTAAATTCGGGATAGCGTTTTTGTAGTGCTCTTCCCAACTTTTTCGAAGACCCTTTTTACACAAAGCTAATAAGTCAAAGCTAGGCACAGAGTAATTTAAGATATTTCCGTTTTTTACAGCTTCTTTAGCTTCATAATCTGCTCTTTCGTTTCCAGTTACACCGACATGCGCTTTGGTCCAAACTAGAGTTATTTTTTTATTTGTTGAGTACAGTTGAAAGAGTAATTTTTTTATTTTTAAGATTAAATCATTTTTATAGTTTTTAAATAGAGAGGCAATTATTGCCTCTAGGACCGATTTGCTATCCGTAACTATTACAGCTCCTGATCTCAGATTTTGTACACACCAAGTAAGTGCCTTCTCTATCGCAATGGCTTCAGCAGTAAAAACTGAGCATAAATCTGGAATACGAAAACGATATACTATATTGATGCTGGGAATAATAAAAGCTAAGCCTGTTCCATGCTCGCTCTTAGAACCATCAGTATAAATGACACAGTCAATGGTAAGGTTACTTAATGTAGCTTTTAAAATTGCATTATTAAGCGCCGGTACACTAGTATAAGCGGGGAATATGACTGATGGTTTGAATATTATTATTTCAAAATTGGTATTATATATGGGGTATTTGTTTGCAACACAAGTTTGAGTAAAATAATGGGTATCAATAAAAGCACTGTTAAAGGTGGAGATTTTTTTTTTCTTCCAATAGTTGGAGGTTAGATTTTCTGTGCATAAGTTCGAGATTTTGTTAGATAGTAATGTATTATATGATCTATATTTGATGATTTGTTTGTTAGCTAGATAATTTCTTCTTAGTTTTAGGGGTGGTTCTTGTGCTTCTGCTAGAATTGCATGGCATGGTGACGATTTCATTAAACCTAAGCAAATTCTAATCGCTTTATACTGGACTCTGTCCAGTATCAACAGATTAGTATTTGAAGCAGTTCCGTATAGAGTACACCCATAGTCTAAGAGCGAGCGTATATAAGATCTGTAAAAAGTGAGTGATAAATTTGGGTCTGCACCCCATTTAGAACAGGTAACTGTTCGAAGTAAGTTCATACCTTTTGAACTGTGACTTCAGAAGTAAAAAACTACATAATTGCTATTTTATGAATCTTTATTTTTTTAATATATTATTTTGAAACATATTGACCGAGGCAAAAAAGACCTAACTTACAATTCTAAGCAAAAGAAGCATAAACGTCTAATTACGTTTTCCCTCTTTATCATGTTGTTATTATTTTATTCAGCTTGCTTAACAAAAAAAGCGTAAATTGTTCTCTTATGCCTTTTTTCGTTTGTTTAATTATTTTGAACCCGGACATTCATTTATGTGGGCTGACAGCTTCCACCATCAGGTAGAGCTCTCAATGAAGAAAAATCAAAAACTGTATGATTTTAGAGACTTTAAAGAAACTGTTCGAAAGGCTAACAATGGAAAAGTTAAGGTCATAGAAATGCAATGATTTTCTTATGTATCAAGATTGCATAAGTCTTAAGAAAGTAAATCAAACTAAACCACGTCCTCACATGAACGGAATGGTTCAAGTTAAGTTTACCAAATGAACCTGTATTTTGAAATATAAAAAGTCTTTCGAAGATGATATAAATGATTGAATTAGACTTTATAAAGCCATCTTTGTTAAAAAAAGGATTACCCTTGCCTATTTATAAAGAAGTACCAAGAGGAATCACGTCCAAAAGAAGACATGAAATCATAAAACGATTGTCGTCACTAATGCCGCCTAACAGAGTAAATTTTTGGAATGCATTGACAGTAAACGATGCTGTTGCTGATCTTACAATTCAGTACGACGTAGATGAGAACGAAGAACATTTCTTTTAATTATTTAGCTCAATAGATTTTTTTATTTTAAAAACATTACACAAAAGAGTTCTAGTTATTTGTTTTATTTATTCTTTTATTGTTCTTTAGTTTATTGAAATTATGTTAAAAATATTACTTAAAAATATCTTTTTGTTCCATTTATTTTACTTGTACTAGAAAACAAAACACAAGTATACAGATATGAGGTTCTTTCTTCTGATGTGATGCAAGTTGTTTTATTTGTGATAGAAAATATAACACAAGTATACAGATATGAGTTTCTTTCTTCTAATTTGTTACAATTTGTTTTACTTACACTAGCAAATAAAACACAAATACATATATGAGTTTCTTTCTTCTGAAGTGATGCAATTTGTTTTTGTAAAAAGCATATGTTTCTTGTGCTTTTTCTTATTAGCATATTCTATTGATTTTGATTTAAAATGCTTGATACCAAACGTTTTTTTAAAAAATTAATACTAAAAATTACGATTTTTAATATATACGTTCTTCCAAAGAAAATTATAGTCTTAGTCCGTATTTTAGAAAAGTTTCAGGTTTTTAAACTATACATAAAAAGAGTAAACTTTTGTTTATGCATTTTTCTTAAAATAAATCAACGTGAACTTATGCTTTTTATCCTTAAGAGGGAAGCTGTTCAGGAGTTCAATAATTGGTAACTGTGTAAACAACGAGAAGACAGAAAAGGAACAATTGTGAATTTACAGGAGCCATACGTAGAATCTGTCCCGATATACATTTTTCTTGATAAGGAGCATCTGGCGCCCAACGTGGGGCAGTATATACGAAATGAGCATAACAAGGTGATCTATTTGGAGAATTGGTAAGGCCCCTTTTCATCTTTAATTTTTTACTGCAAAATCGACAGTTAGTGAAATTAACTGAAAGTTGTCAATTAAAAATATAATTTAATTTCGAATACTTGGAAATTCTGTGTAATTTTGATTAAATGGATTTGATAGGGGAAAAAATATGAATTCTGGCGAAGGGGCAAATGAATTCAAGAAGGATGATCAGATGAATAGTGAAGAATAGCAGAAGATTAAAAAGAACGATCAAATGAGGATTATGATGGAAATGAAGGAGAGTAGGAATCTAAGTGAAAATAAGATAAGACAAATGAGTGAAAATAAAACTAAAATGGAAAAATTAAGGAAAGGCATTTGTAACAAGGTTGAATAAAACTAGAGCACAGTTCATACAAGAAATAGATGAGCTGAAAGAGGACACAAATAAAAGGTAGTAACAAACTAAAAAAGACGTCAGAAAAAAAATTATCTATAGAATAGAGGTATACGTTGAATAGGTACAGGGCAAGAAGATTAAGAAAGTGGTAGAGAAAGAGATGAATTTAGATAAAGTAAAAGATGTAATAAAAAAAGAAAGATGGTGAGAAATAGTTATAAATGTAATTACAGCGGAAAAATTAGAACAAAAGTTTGATGAAGATATTTTAAAACTACATCTCAAGTAGCGAGCAGAATTTATTTCATTTAATGATTTTGAGAAATAGGGCCAATACTTTCTTTCTCTGAATTAACACATGATTACAAAATCGCGTGATTAAATTAATTACGATTAATCATGATTAGGCATTATTGAATAATTTATTGTCATTTTAGCATTTTATTAATAAATCAGTATTTAGTATATCTTGGTAGTACCGACTTTTTAGAATAGATCAGACGTTCCACGAAATACCACTGATTGAGATAACTTCTTTTTGAAATTGTCAAAAAATAAAAATAAATGGATGCAGTCATTTCTCAACATCCGAATTATATTATTTATTAATAAATTGTATTCTCAATCAACTGGACGTCGCTGTTAACAAAAAACTGATGCTTTCTCTTTAAAAGACCTGGTCATTCTGCAAGCAGGGAATTTTGAGAACATACTTTGTGAATCTAATAATTGAGTCCATTAGAAAATCCTCAAACTCTTCATTTTTATGTAAGTTTAGTGGTAATTCTTTACAACCTTGTCCGATTTCTATGATTCTTTTTTTTTTGTTAGTAAAGGGACAACTTAGAGGCGGTCCCCCTTTAAATTTGGTTAAGATGTGGTGATGGCATCTGCACGATTTTGAAGTCGGTTTTTTAAAATTACTTTTATAACTTGTTTATCCTTCAAATTCAAAACCAAATCCTAACTACAATACATAATACACAAAAATTCGCGATTGACAATGTCATGCGCATTGTCAAGTTAGTGTCAGTATAAATCCAAACATTTTTAAATCAGATAATATAACGTCATTATAATGACGTAAGCACCTTGACCAGACTTGACTTGGTCACATTTCTAGTAACTGATTTAAAATCGCCTTTGATTCGCAGAGTGTACTTTCATTGCGTAAATCCGTCGGGATGCCTGTCAGTAGTGCTTTCTCTGTCTAGCCGTCGAAAGCCTCTAGAAATTTGATGAACTGTACTCCAGATTCTTAAATCTAAACATACAATGCGACGTGAGCAATAGTGCCAGTGTAGTTCAAACAGAGCTAACGGGGATTCTCATAGCAGCAAAAAAATCACCAGAAACAATATCACTGGAAGGAAAATGCTCATCTATAGAGAAAGTAAAAGTTGAAAAGTCTTTTGGTAGGTAGAGATGGGGTAAACGTCAAACCACGTCGGGCGGCTCCGAGAATTTCACAGTAATGTTTACCTGCCATTGTCGTTTCATAGAATAAGTAATTTTAAATTGTTTTTTTTTTTTTTAATTTGGTGTCATCGGCATCGACTACTACGGCAATTAGCCTCGTGTTCTGTGTAGGCTTTGTTACTGTTTCCCAGCGCCACTTTAGGAACAGCACTGTTAATTAGAACCCAACAGTGAATGGTCGAGTGGGCCATTCACTGTATCGGCGGAACCGGACAATCGCATGTATTTATGGATTATAAATAATTATTAAACATGTATTATAATATTCAAATTATAATTTTACAAAATTTCAACAGCTATTCACAATTTATTAAACTATTTACTCGAAATTGTTATTAAAATCTATAAAATAATTTTGTACGCCAATGTATCGCGTCCACTTCGGTGAGATCCGGTGCCAACCTGTCAATTTATGTGTATAAAGTGGGAGAACTGGCAAAAGCATTTCCAACTTTTACTTCTGTTCTATACAGGTAGTAGACAAGCACTACTAACCATGAACAGACCACGAATTTACTCAAGGTTAGTCGCGAAGCTTTGGCCAAAGTATCTATAAACAAAGTGGTTACCTTAAGATGGATCAAAGGTCACGCCGCATCGAAAGGTAATCGTCTTGCTGATTCACTAGCCAAGAAAGCGAGCCAACCTAATACTTTTTGGACCTGGCCCTTCTATTGGCTTGACAAAATCGGTAGTGACAGACCTAATTAAAGAACATTCCCTTGTTAAATTCAAGAACAGATGGGGTGAAACAAGAAACTGCAGAGTTGCCAAGGAGCTCCTAAGTTATCCTGACAATACTTCAGCAAACAAATACTTGACTATGACTAGACAGAATCTGCGCCTAGTCACAGGCATTCTGACTGGTCATTGCCAAGTACGGAAGCATCTCCATATCATGGGCACGGCATAAGAAACAATCGGCAGGCTCACTTGCCGCTGATCGCATTCAAATATTATACTAAGAAAATTTGACCTTGGCGACGCCATTCGGGGGTCTTAGTCAGGGTCGGATTAAAGCGTATTTAAAAATTTTGTAATAAAATAAGGTATTGATAGGCAGGATCGTATTAAAACAAAAAAGTAAAAATTTACATAAAATATATTTTAATTTAACTTATAAGAACAGCATTAAGAAAGACAATATGCTCTACAGATTGCGCCAAATAATTAGCTTGTTTTTATTGATGATCCTAAAATTTCTATTAATATTAATTAAGTGTAATATATGAGTAGCCTTAAATATAACTTAACAACATATATTTCTGGAAATTGGAGACAAGGAGCGTCAAATGTTATCTCGGAATTAATTAAATCTAAAAAAAATGTACAAACGCCGGATTTAGTGGTAAATAACTCAAAATTTTGTTGAAAAATTATTTCAATTTTTGTTATTAAACATACAAAACTATTATTTGACATTTTTAAATTGACAAAAATATCTTCAGTTGTTTTTTTGTTTGTCTTCGTGTGGTAAGGCATATTGTGTACATACGTCGCAACTGTGAATTTCAAGACATTTTTTGTATTAAAAATCCGAATATATAATAAAATTTTCTTAAAAAATATTGATATTTTGTGCATGCAATTCATTAATATGCTTGTTTATATTTACATTTTAGACAATATTGCCACCATTACACGCGATTTTGGAAAATGGCTCATCCTTACTAGTCCTACGAATTTCATGCAGCCTTACAAGTAAAGCTTCGCAGTTTTCAGTTCCAGAATGTAATAAATTTAAACATTGCAATTTTTTGAACGTCCTTTGAAATTGGACCGATATAGGGTTTATACAGTTACCATCATGGAGGAAGGATAATTAAGAGTTGCAGATTTCTCACAGAAATTTGGCAGCATGTTTACCTTCAGCGACATATGGAATAGTTTTGTGCAATTAATACTCAGTCGGTAATATAGAAAGATATAATGCTATTTTAGTTTGAAAATTGGCGGGATTTTGAATTTACTTCGACAAAATATAAGAATTTTACATTTTTAATACGCATCTCAGGCGTATTAAAAAATGCAAATAAAAATGTAAAATTTTATGTTAAATAATTTTAGAAGTGTTAAATAAATAATACAAAATTGTAACAAATAAATATTATTTGTAGAATCTTTATTGGTTACAACAATAAACATAATATACATTTTCTGAATAAACAACTATTTTAAATAACATAAAACAAACAAATTTTTTCCATATTAGTGCGAAATAAAATAAGAGTTCCAGCCATAAATCCTAAAACGAAAAACAAAAAAAATGTAATTTACTATTTATAATTTCTTTAATGGCTAATTAAGATTTTCTTGCTTTTTGTAATGAAAATACTTTAGATTTATCAAGATTATAAAGCTTTCTTATTAGCATATCTAGAATAATTATTATCAAAATGAATATCAGAATTAAATTTTTGTTAAGCATTTCAATATTTGGAAATAACACAATTACGATTAATAATCATTTTTTTCAGGAAAAAAAAGTCTGCTTGTTGAAAAAAATTACAAGAAAAAGTTTCCTTTTAAAGTTACGAAGGAAAACCGACAGGATAACTGTGACTTTTCTTCGTAAAATCAATAGGTAATACAGATTTTTTCCTTTTTTCAATTTCTAGTTTCTTCATTTATTAAGACCCTGTACACCTGACCTAACATATTAATATACTAAACCTATTTTTTCGTCAAACAGAATTTTTTTATAATGACTTTTTCCTTAAAATAAAAATAAAGATTTTTCCATTTTGTGAACTCTATACGGGAGATGTTTAAAATATAACATTTTACTTTAAATCCTAATAATATACCTACATAAGTAAATATAAATTGACGCTAAACTTTACGTGACGTTAACTAGGCACCTACCTACATCTTCCTAATAGGTTTATAACTGACAAACTGACCCATAACCTAAGATTTTTTTAAAAGTATACCGTACATACCTACCTAAGAGGATCTTTAAGAAACCGAAAAAAATCATTTAATACAGTTTATTCATATAGTTTTTTTGCTGCACAACTTTGCCCAGACATAATAAAACACGTAAAACTTAACAAATTAACACTGGAAAACAACTTATATATAAACAGTGCCAAAAAATATCTATAATTCTAAAAAAATAATAACTACATAATACACACATCACAAACAAAATAAATTTAAGACACCCGCTACTGATTCAGCTGCTGCAACTTGTTAGTTTTTGTCGATATAATCGACGACAGGGACGCCACTGGCTTGATTGAGAGGTTGGACCCCAAAATGGCGGTATGCGCGTAGCGTTGCCGCCAACACAAGTTAGCCTGCCGATTGTTTCTTATACCGTGTCATAAGGCTGTCAGAATCTGCAGTTTGCAGAGTGTGCGAACAAAAAGATGAGACCATCGGGCATATCCTTTTAGATTGCTCGACGCTCTCATTTATTAGAAGATTTGTGTTCGGAGAATATCGGCTAACACCAGCCGATATAAAAGAAGCACCTCTTGGCGACGTTGTCAACTACATTAAATTTGTAGGCTGGCTCACGAACTAGGAGGTGCCTATCATCTTAGGAGGATGCACAATGGGCCTAGTGAGGCCTTAGGGCTGTGGGGGGGGGGGGGTAATCCACACGTTATAGAAACAGATTTAAAAGACAAACAGTAGCTTGGAAAAATTCATGGGCAAATTTAACTCGTCCAATTTGGTAAAAAAATAATGTATCTTCAATTAAAATATGCCCGAATATTTAGAGTTTACTTTTTAAATGATAATTGTCCAATCAATGGTATGAAATATCAGATTTGGGAAGTTGTACGTCAAAATCTGGCACGAAAAAAATTCCACACAGTGAGTAATATGAGCATAAAATATTAGGAACTTTTCCATATCACTGCAAGCAAAATGCCATAGAGATGATGTGGTCACAGTTCAAATGGTTTAATGACGAAAAAATTATTGTATTCGTGAAAACGCAGCCTAGTAAAGTTTACGCTGCTAAGCAACAACAAAGCGCAACTGAAATAAGAAGACACGTGCAAACTGTAGGAGGAATTTCACTATCACTTTATATCTGATGACAGGTCAGGGCGTAGAAGGGAATGTAGAGAGGAGAGACAGTAAGAGAAAATTCTGGAACATGTAAGGTTGAAAGAAGAAAAGAATGCTAGTAGGTAGGAAAACAATATAAATGAAATAGTTGATCTACTATCATAGAAACTAATAACTACTTACTGTTAATTTCGCACACAGTGACATCTTCCGATTTTATAATAAATTTCTCAATACTGAACGAATCTGTCGATTTCGCCTTGACATCTCCTCTAACTACTATTTGATTATTCCTTTCTTCGTTTATCTGTAAACGTTCTTCCGATTTGCAAGAAAGATGCGATCCGGAATTGACGTCTAACGATGAAGTTTGAGATAGCGCTGGGACAAGAGGTACAAGAGCGGTATCGTCGATTGATTTTTGGGAAATACTCGTATTTGCGAACGACGACTTTTGGGGAATTATTATCGTTGGACATGATGTTGTTCTATTTCCTTGCGCTTTTGAATAGTTAATGGTGACGTGTTGTGTTTCGCTCGATTTGTTGCCTGGAAAAAGAAGCGTGTACTTAGAATGTTGGTTAAATTTTAATTAAATCAAATACCAGTTATTATAAATTCTGTAACGGTTTAATAAAATCAATTATTGTTGCCAAGATGGCTACTGGATTCATCCGTAATTCCAATTCAAAAAGGTTAAGCCAAAGCAAGATATCTTTAAGATAACAAGTTTTAATTTTTGTTAATTTACTAAATAATAAGAATCCAATATACTACTTACATTTATTTATAAAGAACTTGGGAAGGGCACTTAATCACTCACTTTGCATAATATATATAAAAGACAGAGAACGTAATTTTTTCTACAACAGTTTTGTGGTATGTAATTTGCTTTTCTATATATTTATTTTTTACCATTGAAGATGTATGCAAATAACTTTAATTGTGTTCATTTATGAAGTAACAATTTTTGATTTTTAAATACTGGTTTTTGATTTAATTAAAATAATCTACAAAAATAGATACGAGTATAATAACAAAGGTAAAGAATCATGAGAAACAAATTAGTCAAATATTTATCACTTTTTTCTTTCATTCCTAAGAACTTTTGTCTTCAACTTGTCTTCGATGAACAGTATAAGATAGTACAGGGTGATTTATAAAGGGTGGCGACCGGCTGTATCGCCTGTATTTCGGAAACCTAGAATTAGGAAAAAAAATTCTTAATACTAAATCGGCCCTAAAAAAATGTTTAAAAATATTTTTAAATACGTAGTTTTTCCGCTATGTAGCTTAATCTATCACTTACAAAATATAATTGAGTTTTTTACAAAATATTCCCTAATTGAGGTTGGTAAGAAATACCAACTTTTGTTTAAAACAAATTTTCTGTATCACTCATTTTTATGTGGTGGAGTGTACTTTCGTTGATACAAAAGAGAATGTAACTTCCATATGCCTGAACCGACTTTTACAAACGTAGACCTAATGAAAAGAGCAATAAAATTATATATTAGAAATAAATAACGCATTTAATTTTTCATTCGGCATTGTTGATTAAAAACTTTTAATTTCGAACAATTAACTTATTTTTATTTAAAAACATGGGATTCTGTGGTCTCTAACAACTTCACTTCACTCAGCAGGAGCGGCGTAAAGGGGTTTCTGAACACTAGTCGGCATCTAGAGGATGTTATGTAATACCAAGCTCTATTTAAGATTTTTTTGAGAAATTTAAAAGACTATAACTATAACCAGCTTACAAAAAGGCAACTTAAATGACAAAATGTCAAAACCGTAAACTGATATCTCTAGTCATTTCAAAGATATTGGCATTTTTTATTTTAATGAGTGCTGGCTCACCCTGTGAGTTTTAGGAGAAATAACCATGTTGCTAATATTGTTTTAAGAACAAAATAATAAGTAAAAACGCAAAAATGCTTCACAAAAATATAAATAAACATAAATAATGAAACAATAAAACTAAGATAAATAATTAGGTACACATAACAGAAATTTACAAAATGTAAAAAAATTAAATCACTTAATAATTATATATACTCAAAATTACAGAGCTTGGATATATAGAGGGAGTATAAGAGAGGCAGGACTTATACGTATTCAATGTTAAGCGATGTTGCAAACATATCGTCGAATGTCAGGTTGTATGTTTTGACATAGACTCGGTTCATAAACGTTGAACATTTTCAGTGGCGTAGTTTCATTGGTAAAACGAAAAGCAATAATTGGTTATTTGTAATAAAATGAAATTTCAGGTTGTTTAATTGTACGAGGTCTACACTTTACAGGTTTACACTTTTATTAATAAAAACGAGATTTATTTATTATAATTTGATTGTTTATACAGGTGAAATGAAATTCCTTCGCCTTTTCGAAATTGTTTATGGCAGACTGTACATGACTTCGTATTTACAAACAGTTAACGTTAATGTCAAGAATAGGCAAATGTATCCAAGCTATAAATCATTAATTAAACAATTTAACAAAAGTTGATATTATTCACAGCTTAAAACAAAATAAAAACTCATCTAGAACACTATAGTGGTAATTCTGTAATTCAATACGTTTATTTTTAACGGGTGTTAAATTTTACGATTTTAACATAAATTGTAATTCTGTAAAAATAAAATTAACGCTTACGTTAAATTTTCAAAAAAATTAACATACGTTAAAAGTAGTTCAAATTTGCAATAAAAGTATAGTTAAGTTTTAAGGTCTGTCAAATAAATGTCATTCCTTCTGTCATATTTATTGTATCTGTCTGTTTTTACACAAGAATATTGAAAAAAGTTGCGGTCGAATGTACTTAGGGCATCAATTTTCAATACAAAGAAAACTAACCCCAATAACCGTATAAATAGTACCTTTCTACGGCAAATCAATTACTAACTACAAAAAATTTATGTACACTATAAATAAGATATAATTTCTAAATAGAATATGTGTAGTTTCAACTGTTAAAATTACTTGAGTACTTACAAAATGGTTCATTTCATGATTTTCTTGCATTATAAGTTGAATTAAACAATTAAAAGTTATAATTTCTTATATGTTAAGTGTTAAAGCCTACTAATTAGTACATGTTAATATCCTCGATTAAACGCATAAAATTAACACATTTATGTTCAATTTTTAACACATTTCTGCTTATAGAATAGTTTTTACCAGCACAAATGAACTATTATGTTAATTATGACAAGTTAAAATTTTTCATGAATTTACTGAATTGCTTCTCATATTTAACATACGTTATATTTTTAACGCCCATTAAATTTTAACATATTCGTTATAGAATTACCACTTATATCTATAACATAACAAAAACAAATTAACTCATATTTGGAAAATTCGGAAGTACAGAAGCATCAGAATAATGACTAATAGACTTCTTTTGAGTTTTGATTATTTCGCAAACCAGTTCAGAATCACTGCGAATTCCACTGGATCAGCTAAAAGATTGTTATAACATCGCGTTGTGTTCTTGAAAAAATAATTCATCAACTGTATTTGAGAATTGGATTGACCATCGAGATAAACTAAACACCATTTTGCAATATGACAGATGGACCAAAACTGACATCTCGAGTTTGACATATGATGTAAAAGTGTAATGCAAAGATGTGGACACTTTAGGATCACCATATCATCTCCTCTCTATTCTATTTCAATGAATTTGACATATCTGTTTTCTGTTTGAATCACTGATTTTGAACCCAACTTTACCGACCGTTGCCAGATTTACTAAAGTAATACAAATACTTAAGAACAATCAAATTTTAGAAATTTACTCCTTAATGTGCTAGAGTCTTTTTATACAATATAAGTACTCTATTATTTTATAAAACGCTTGTCATAGAATAGTAATGTGATTAAAATAAAAATAAAAATCAATTATGTAAATACTTACGTTTTATGTGTGTTACAACTTCTCTTTCTAATACCACCTCTGTAGATCCTAGATCTGTGCTCAGAACGCTATGAACAATTTTAGAAAGTCAAAATTAGATACTTTGGAAATGACACTAATGTTTTGTTATTGTTCACTTTGAAGATTTTGTTGCTGTCAAAGAGATTTTGATCGTTTGTAAACTAACTCTTTTATAATGCCTTATTATTTAAATGAAGCTGCATATATGATAAATATGCTTTGTGTACATTTTGAAAGTCATTCTAGGAAAGTATTCAAAAGAATGCGATTGCGATTGCGAGAAAACGGTAATGTTCCACATGTTGCAGGTTCCCGAGATACAGCAGGTCGCCACCCATAATGAATCATCTCGAACTATTTTATACTGTTTATCGAGAAGAATTGAAGGCAAAAAGTTTTTGAGAAATGAAAGAAGTATTTTAATTCCTTCTTAATCAGCATGTTGGTACACACCACTGAACTTTCCCAGCAGTGGAACGATACACGAACCTGCCGACCTAATAAAAAATGGCACAGATCTGCGATGTTTAGCGGCACAACAACGCTTGCGCATTTTGAACTTTTTGCAAAAAATTTATAGATAATTACAGGCATCGCATCCTAATTTGTCAGTAGTGGGGTAAAGTTTGCGCACTGCTGACACGCACCTTCAAACGATCTTAATGGCTACTATTAAAGCTCAGTAGCGTATACTACTTTTATCAACAGCGGCTATCATTTGTTGGTATTATAGGAAATACCAGAGTACCTACACAATGGATCAAACGCAATTATGTAAATAGGTTTTTCCTACGACCACTTAGGAAAGTGACACATATCACACTATATAGTCCTATGGAAAGTGTCCTATATCACACGCGTATGACTAAGAATTTACTTTCCACCCAAGTGAGAATATGTTACTTTCCGCAGTAGTTGTCAAAAAATGTCAAACGCCTAATTTCTATTTTGATCTATGTAATGTCCATATTAATACTAAAATCGATATGATTGTTAAATTATTGAAATTGTTTTAAATTAGATCCTAGATATTTATCTTTAACAATTATTATTAAAATAACTAAGATTATGTTTGCTCTTTAATTTGGGTAAATACATAACTGATTAGATCATTCAATTGACGTAAGGCCCATTAGCTCAGTTGGTTTAGACGTCGAACTTATCAACTTTGCCATTTTTTGACCGCGTTCAATCTATGGTTCAAATCCTGGCGGAGCCGAATTTTTTTTTTGTTTTTTTTTTTATTTTTTATTAGTTTTTTTTGTTTAGAAAATATGAAAATTGAATAAATACGATTATTGTTGAATATTTTTTTAAATACATTTTAATTAATATAGTAATAATAACCTTGGTTTTACATTTTTTTGATATTATTTTGTAAGCTAATTTCTATTTTGATCTATGTAATATCCATATTAATACTAAAATCGATATGATTGTTAAATTATTGAAATTGTTGTAAATTAGATCCTAGATATTTATCTTTAACAATTATTAATAAAATAATTTTAAAATAATGTTTGCTCTTTATTTTGGTTAAATACATAACCGATTAGATCATTCAATTGACACAAGGGCTGTTAGCTCAGCTAGTTAGGAC